CACTACGAAGACCTGAACTGAATATAAAATCTATTGAAAGATTCTCAAGTAGCTGTTCTGCGGAGCGCGAAGCAATCAAATATTCGGAAAATTTAGCAAAACCGGAAGTAGATTTTGAGTCCAGTCGGGTCGAAATCGTTTTTGGCGTATTTCTACCAAAGAAAGCTGTATTAGCAGAAACTAACTATGGTCCGTTTCCATTCTTACTAGGACCTATCTATGGACAAAATACAAGCGAAATCAATTTTTCGACTAGTGCCATTGATAGGCGATTTAGGTCCATTTTTATAGGCATTCACTCTTAAGTGCTGTGTAGCTATAAAATCAGATCACTCGAATAATGTTTATTTTAAAAAAATAACGCATTCTAAATGGTTCAGGAAAATTTGGGGCGAAATGTCAGTCGAGTCCTGTCTAGTGATTTTCCTTTTGAAGCTGTATAATATAGGTAGGGTCAACATTTTTCGAGATCCTTCGAGCCCTGGGATTCCCCCTTCACGTGACAACTCGTCATTGATCACATGACAGTTGGAATCACCAGAAGACAAACGCCTGCCTTGCTTCATTCTCAATATGGCTTCCATCCTAAGAGGTCGTTGGACAACAACAGAGCAAACTATTAGCAGTTTCATCCTTAATGTATCCTTCTTGATCAGTCACAATCCCTTGTTACTGTTGGGTTTGTTCTTTCAAGCCTTCTACGCTGCAGTTCAGTGCTCGGTTCTTCTTACCACGCAAACAGGAAGTATCGTGTCTAGCTGGAGAAACTCTTCGTTCTCACCTGAGGTGCATGATGGTGACGATGACGTTGGCAACCCTTATATTTTCAGCAGTAGCAAAAGCGACCTGAAAAATACCAATCTTTTGATCGAAATCGATGATCGTGACTTTGCATTTCAAAGGGAGTCGGCTAAGACCGTCGAAAACACAGCACACACTCCGCCATTGAAAAATCATCCTTTCGATTTGCAAGATACGTACAAGATCTCGTCGCTTGGAATTCAGGACATTGAAACTCTGGTGGCGAAATTTGGAGGCGAAAATCTGAACATAGCGGTTGCTNCTTAACATTACATTATTAGATAGAATAACCTTACTCGTGACTCAATTTACCTTTACTAATTGCTTGTGTATGATATACAACACACTCACTTGTAGCATTGTATGACTGTTACTTGCATTAATTGCAGACCATTGATTCTTTGATAAATGAAACTCTAACAGCAAATTTGTAAGATAAGAAAGGACACACCTTCAGCACTTTCCACATAGTGTTGAGTACCGTGAAAATTTCCTTTGGCTGAAGAAGACCAAACACAGCTCCTGCACGACTTAGAGGAGGAGGCAGCCAACTTGCCTAAGATAATGAATCAAAATTACCAACACGATCTATGACACTACTTGAGTTCTGCCTTATCACCATGACACTCGCATTTTACTTCTCGATCCACGAGGTATTAAAGAGGACTTCAGCAAAAGCCAATTTTAAACGAAGTATTGTTTAATTTCAAAACAGTGTCGTTAGGGGTACTTTGGCAAGAAATGCTACTTCTTAAGTTCTGGTGGCAGGAAGAAAAAACAAGGTTCTTGGTTTCCTGTCTCGGTTTGACTGAGGTAAAGGCAAAAAGCGTGCAGCTTGGGTACGGTACAAGTAATGAATTAAACACACCTTTGTCATAATATCAGTAATAAAACACGTGACTTTAAAATTGAGCGTTGATTGGTCAACTGATGAACCTCTGTACACCTCCCAGTATGACATGATGGTGGCTAACAGACTGGACACTAAAGGACTGCACTTGGACAGCGAGGACACACCTAGAAAAACGACGATCAACATGACTTCAAATTACTACATTCGCTACACACTGCACATTCCTTTTTATCTCCCAATAAAGAATTTTGTGGCATAATCATTCCTCAGTGTGACCCAGGTCTGTGTTAAGTGATGCTTTCACTGTGCTGAAGTAAAGACTATGTATGTGTGTATGTTGTATTCTCGGCTGTGATACTTGAATATCACGCTGTGTCTTCTCTCTAACCAAGGCCACGTTGGTCAAAGCACGGTTAAACTAGTCAAAGATAAGAATTAATTCCGACTTAGGTATTCCTAACTTTTCTATTTATATCTCCTTTCTTCCAGTTTTGACTTCGACTAATCCCAAACTTCAAAAAGCATGTACAGTGAAAACCATTTGACTCATACACGGACAGCTCGTTGTGGAATGCTGCGTACCACACCACCACATCTTCCTCATACTATTTTAAGATTACATTACAGTGAATATCATGTGTATTGTTTATCAGTGCAACAGCAGTGTAATAAAACTTCTGCCAGTGAAAACTAACGACCACCTACCTCTAGCGACAATGCTCACAAGCGCCCATAATATGGGATTGTCATCAAAAGTTTTCTTTATCCGCAAATCGCTGGAAGAAAGCAAGGCAGCAATAGTTTAGACATAAACATTGAAATGTTGCTTCAAACAATGCTTGTCTTCTTAAATTGTAACTGCTCCCTTCATGAAGCAGAGCATGATGTGATAATGATGGAGTGAATCACAGTGTCTCTTCAACCAGTCCTCCTGTTACTCTAGGTCAATCGATACTGGCCCTCAAGGTACACATAGATTTTTATGCAATAAAGCAGTTTTAGACTGTCCGCTCTCAGGTTCATATATATATAAGTCCACCCTTCGCCAACAAGATCTACTAGTCTACCAGTCGTCCAATATTTACCTAAGCCCTCTTTACAGACACTTGTTACAGCACTTGACAAGAAAGACTAAAAGTATTATTAACCGACGTTTCGATGCATCTAGCATCATTCTCAAGACTGAGGTCGTTAATGTTAATGTCAAAGTTGTTATTTACGAGTTGAGTTTGAGAAGGATTGCAATCCACTGCGCGTGAATTATGTAAATGTAACAAACATCATTAGCATTAACGATCTCAGTCTTGAGAATGATGCTTGATGCATCGAAACGTCGGTTAGTAGTATTTCTAACCTTTCTTGATTAGATATTTTACAGCCGATAGACTGGGAGAACAAATTAATGTGCGTGATGATCTTCAAACCTACCGTTCTATTGTAAACTTGAGGCTTTCGTCATCTGGCCAGTCAAAGGTGATGGGAACAACATCAGGGCAAACCAGCTCCATTAACAGCAGTGACAAAGAGTCCACGTATTTATGATGAAGAGTTAAGTTACCCTGATCTGCATCCTCCTGGTCACACGTGCATAGGATAAACACAATATCCACAAGCATCTGGCTTGTATGCTGCCATACCTGAGACTAAAATAAAGGGAAAAAAAAAGGCAAAGTCTGCATACGAGCCAAGTGGCCCATCCCATCAGGCCGGAGCTCATCCCAGTTTCTGTAGCATGAAGCGACTGGGAATATTTAGACTACTCTCCCCTGGATGGGATGCTAGGGTTACCACCACCATTAAATTCACCAGCACTAATACCATGAGGCCCCCGCACCTCCCTCACCATTATCCTTTGTAGATACACAGTCAGTGTTGTTTCATAGACTTGACTGTTTACTGCTCTGCTATTGTCTGGCACTTCCGTTATTATTTGATTAAAACATAACGAATCACCAGACTACTTAGCTTTGTTGCTACTCAACAAAGTACTTGCACAAAATGCGCAAAAAATGCGCAAAAACACAACCGTGATACCTAGAGAATAAATGTCAGTACTCCTGTTCCCCCTTTCCTTGTTGGCGAAAAAATGGTAAATGCAAACTTGTGTCAGATGAAAGTGTTTTGTCAACACTGCACAGGGGTGGGACAGGGCAAAATGCGTATAAAATGAAGTTTTCCAACCCTTCTGACCAAGGTTGTAGAAACAAACAAACAAACAAAACAGAACGACAGAAAACACAACACGTTCATAGCAAGGTAAAGCAATTACCTTTGTTTTGTCAGCTGTTTTTGTTCTGTTGTTTTTGTCAATATCGCCAACAATTCCACTGAAGAATACGGATGATGGAGTAAGAGGTAGATGAGAAGAGATGTGCGGATTTCTGTTGCGCTCTAACAAAGAAACTTTGATCTTTGTCAAGTCTTTTTCTGACTCAGTTGGTTCAGCTGAAATAATAATACAAATAAAAGTTACCTCCATAAAAGGTAGGTCTTCCCCAACCAAACATTCAACAAAACAAACAAATAAACATTTTGCGCAAATTTCTTCTACATCCATTTATGTCAATAATAATATTATTCAATCTAAGCGCTATCTTGTGATGCTTGAATTTGTACGTACTTGTTCTTATTTAGACGGAAAATAAAAGTAAACTTATAAACTGAATGCACCATGAAACCCTTTGAGTGCCAAATAGTGTTAGACATTTCCTCGACGAAGGCTACAAGAACATTGCATTGTTTGACCTCTTTTTTTTCCAGCTTGCCTCGTGCAGAGCGACATAACGAAAAAACGAGGGCAAATTAAGAAGGTAAAACTCGAGAGGGGGATGGGTTTTTCTTGACTGGATACGGTCTCATGTCGCTCCTTTCACTGCCATTTGAGCAGTGCCTATTAAAACAGGCTTTTGAGCTTCATCTTACCTGGCAAAACCCCACCAAACAAACAAACATGCTCCTATGGAAAAAAAAAAATTAAAGTTACAAAATACTTTAACGAGTTGTCACATGACACGCTGATACATGAAGGTTTACTCTTGAATAATAAACATTGACACGGAGAATTGAAATGCATTTTCACACGAAACCCTTCGTGTACAGCTTAATTACAGTGACTCCAATTTCATTTAAAAATCAAATCAATTCGGTTGATTAAGGATGATATTGCTTTGTTACCTTTTGCAATGTGCCTTCCACTAGAAGCCTCAATAAATACAATCGACATCTATCATCTTTGGAGAGTAGAAGAAACATCTTCCTACAGAGTTTTATGGATTTTACTGTTTCTGCGACACAAGCAAAAGACACACCTTAAGCACTGTTAATCACAATTAAATTTGTCTGAAAAGAATGCAGGAGACTATTACAATGAAGGAGGTGATTCCAAAGAAAACATCATGGCATCACTATCTGTCAAACTGCGTTTATTGCCTAGGCGCTGCATAACTGAGTAAACAAGTCACTCCTGGCAAATCCAAAGATAGGAAATGTTAGAATCCATCATACTCGTAGCAAATGAATGTTTTCAGTTATTTACTACACAGTTCATTGTCAAACGCCATATCTATAGCTCTTTCCTTAGAACCTCTTATTTGTCGAGAGATTCGTACATTAGTAGAGTCACGACCCTCTACAAACAGTTGAAATAGTTGGCATGTAAATTTAGCTGCGATATTATCGTTGTATTACAGTTGTATGATTTTGAGCCCAGAGAATGATCAAAGCGTAAATTACAAACTGTGTGAATATGAAATCAAGGCAAGTTCCCTTCTTTCTGTAATAGCCTGTTGAAAATGCGCAATTTTGCAAAATTCCATCGGCCATCTTGGATGATTGGGCGGTATTTCGAACTTTCCGTAAATTCCACCAAAATGTGAACTTGCCGGACCTTTTAAATATATTTCTGAAAAGTTTACTTAAAGGGTCTTTTTGACACAATAAAAGGAAATTTGAATTTTCCGTCCTGTCGTCGGACTCTCCATATTTAGAGGCCGTGGCTCTTATTAATGTTTGGGCGAACGGGAAAAGGAACGACCCTTTCGATAAACTAAAAAGCACTTGGATCGGACAGCCAACACTTTTTAGCCAAACATACAACTCTCGTACCTGTTATTTTTCCATCTTGTTTTTCCATGTTGTGCAGTAACTTGTAGAATAAACCAACACAGTTACTGCACATCTTCATCATGTTAGACACTTTATCAGGAAGAGTTTTGTCCAGCGACAGAAGAAGGGCAAGAGATTTTAAGGACACTTGTAGGTTTGGATGAATGAGTAAATTAGCAAACACACTGTGATGTCTCTGAAGTGATGCTGATAGCTTTGACCTATAATGTCATGGGAAAATGGTTAATAAACCTGCTTCCTGAACACTTCAGCATCAGTAATTGAAATAATTACTTTAGAACCGATAGTATGATTCCTCAGTCCAGAAATGAATAAAAACAAGCGGTGTGCAGACGTCGCAAATTTAAAAAGCTGTTTTTGACCTCCAAGTATGGATTAATAGAAACACAAAAGCTCTACATGGTGGCTTAATTTTCTGTGACCGTTACTTCATACCTTGACAGAAGTTGACTTCCGTTCTCAGTGGAAATCATTTGGTGAAAATTACTCATTAAATGCAATAACTGCAAAAAAACAACACAAAAAACAAAAAAAGAAAACAAATCAAAATAGAAAGAACACAAAAATCATATCTTCGGCTGCAGCTATAAATTGCGAGTGTTAAGTGAGACTCACATGAACTACTGTCAATTCATATCCACTCCTGTTCATGTCAATATGCATATTTTCGGTGCACTATTATTTATTCTGGAATGATCCAGCCAGCAGCAAAGAACATGCAAAAAACATGTAACAGGCAATGCTTTTTCCCTTTCTCAACGATCGATCCTAACAGGAAACCAAAGACTGTTACTTGAAATGCCAAACATGTCCCACTACTGCAAACTAGTTAAACCCCAGGCCTTGGCAAAGACTCTTTGCAACTGTTCCATATGACAAAGACAACTTCTACCAGCTGTGCAATGTATGTATCCACGTGTAAATTAACCTTTAATGAGAACAATTTCTCAGAAGGACTGTCTAAAGTCATGCAGCCAAATAATACCTTTTATTATTCTTGCACTGTGATTGACTACCCGAGCGGGCAAGATGGAGCTACAGTATCTTGCCCACTCGGGATTACCTGCCGTGTCCCACAAGAAAAATTTCCTTGAAAGCCATATAATAAATCCTTTATTGACCAAGCTTGTTCGGTCAAGATGGCTGGATATTGGCCTCGTTCTTTTTTTGCGTGTTTATGGACCTCGACTCCGTCTCGGTCCATAAACATGCAAAAAAGGAACTTGGCCAATATCAAGCCATCTTGACCTCTTGCTTGGTCAATAACCCAAATTTAATTTCGTAACAATCAAGAACACAACAAAGCTTAACGTGTTTGCAATACACTAACAGTACCTGATGTGAACTTGAAGCAGCACCTGGATATTTGACAGTTGACAAACAAGCTTTAACAACATCGTCTACCAGCTGTGCATAGTACAACTCCAGATCACCATGAAGCTGAGCAAACAGCTGAAGCTACAAACAAACAAACAAATTAAGTCAAATGTACATTCAATGTCTATAGGGAGAACTTGCAAAATACATGTGTGCACGTGCTGTTGACTGAATTGTGGTAAGTGAACATGCAACACATTTATTATGGCAAGAGTAACACTCAGTTTTACATGTCTGAAGATGGATTTGTACAAAGGGGGTCGTACAGGGGGGTTCCATGACACGGTTCACGAACGAAAAAAAATAGAGGATCACGGATCACGGATATAAAAATTTCGTTTTCCTGAATCACAGAAATAAGCAAGTAACATTCTCTTTTAATAACCTGTTCAATACACTAGAAAGAGTGTTTGAAGAAAGAAAAATCATGAAAGGCTAAGTCAAGGGTCCATACTGCAAATCGCATGTCTGTAAGTCACTCTCAATAGACGACTCTAACCATTTGGAGGATCTGGGTCTCAAAATCATGTAGAATTGAGTGGTGAAATCACGAATATTGGTGAATAATTCAAGTTCTTCACGGGTCACCCAAAACCTTCAAGTCACGGATCACGAAGAATAATTTCCTAAATTCACGTTTCACGGAAAATAAAATCAGCTAATCACGCATCACGAGAATACCCCATCTCAATCTGGTTGATTTAAAATCCCAGTTGTTTGCCACTCTGCTTCATAGATAAGCAACACTAAAAGAAACACACTTGACAGATTGTAATGTAGTAAACTTCTTTCACGGAATTCATCTCTGAAATAATAATTATTATGTCAACAAAGCAAGAAACTTTGTTCAGTAATATCTTACAGACTGTGCAGATCTGCTATTCATCAGGACTAAATTCAGAATTCTGGCAGCTGAAGTTCGTCCACTATGAATGGCAATGATGACCAATATTTGAAAAATATTTGAAACCCTGTGAACAAATAAGAACAAACTCAAAGATCAATGCAAAATTGTCAGCAATATCTTAAGCTACAGTTGTACATGTAACATTGTTTTACCATCTTGCTAAAAATGGTTTTTGACATTTTTACCTTGTATTAGCTCTCCTACACACATGCACAGGTAGTGTTCATTTATGTGTCATAGCATCTGTTTGTGCCATAAAACTGAATTTCTATTTACAGTATTGTAGTGACTCATTACACTGTAGCCTGATTCTCATATCATCAGAGGTATTTTGGTCTTAGTCTCTCACCATGTAGTAAGACCCCGGGGAAGGGGGAACTCCCTTATATAGGTATGTGCGGCCCCAAAGGGTTGGGTTTTTCAGCCATTTTGGTCATAAATAGGGTATCGATTTTGGCCATTTTGGTAATAAAATAGGGTATGGTTTTAGCACTCTTGTTTTGAACTGGGTATGTTTCTTAGAAGAAGCTACTTTTTCATCATTATCAATAAGACCATCAACCAAAGCCCTTCATGACTTAAGTTTAGGACAACTGTGTCAGCTGCAACGGTCATAAATAGGCTATTGAATTTGTGGTCAGGTCGTAACTAGGGCGGCAAAAAATGCAGATGTTGGTCATAATTATATGTAGGGTAAGGGTTTTGGGAAGTGGGCTGCACACCCCCACCAAACTTTTCTGGAGGTACCTCCCCCCCCCTCCCCAGGAGTAAGACCAAGCAAACTTCAGATTGTCTCAGACTCTGGCTAAACAGACTGGTGCTTAGCAATGGTTTCTGTGGCTTTTATGAGGCAAGTCTAGGAGTATTGATACAGTCCTTAATCCTCAAAAGCCTTCATGGTTGTAGCTGCCAAGCATCGTGGACTTATTTCTCACTCTGTACTTGGCTTTTGCACCTTACCTTGTGGGGTGGGCACAGTCCCCCCTCTCCCCCTCCCCTTACCTTGAGGGCACAGTCCCACCTCTCCCCCTCCCCTTCCCAACCAGGAATAAGATTGCTGTCCAAAAAATAATACTCTTGAGTGGAGAGGCAGCCTCTTTAATTTTTGTTGACTTTTTTTTTTATGAAATAGCTTTTCTTAAGGGTGAGGGGTGGGGTGGNGGGGGGGGGGGGGGGGGGGGGGGAGAAGAATCAAGAATAAGGGTTTGAGTTGTAAGCAATGCACAATGTACGCAAGCAGATCTTACTTGTTGCCACATGAAGCCAATAGTGCCTTGCACAAGTATTTTGAATGACAAGCCATTTCCGTGAGAAATTCACTCTCTGTCCTTCTGGTGTCCAGTGATGCCATGGAAGTGTTTTTGTAGAAAAGGTTGTGCCTCTGAAGAGCAACTTCTTCAAGTCTGTTCAACAGCAATCCCTAAAATAGCAACATTAAACACAAATTGAAAAGTTGTATCTTTTTTAATGATTACTGTACACGTATGTAGCTAATTTCAGTATCAAGGAGAAGTGTGCAATGTAAATCCTGAAGATTTAAATCCAAATTAGCTTATTCAAGTTTTTCTATAAATAAATCAAGCAAATTATTTTATGAAATTAAAACTCACCATAATAAAAGTGAATATTTTTTGTAACTCAGCTTGGGTCACATCAACATGCATTAAACCTGAAGTCACAACATAACAGACAGAGAACGATTTTTGAAGAACACACAGTCATTTTTAATTTTGTTACCTACTGTAGTAAGAAAATGTTTGACAATGGTGCCTTTTGTAACACCCTAGGCCAACTTACAGGAACACTTAAGTTTTAAATAAATGGCAAGGTGCACTTGCCAGGCCTGTTTGGGTGTTTGGAAAGGACTAGAGCATCACTTTTGAATATATATAATTCAAGAAGCCAAAAATAGAGGTCTGGAACAAGCCTAAAGAGCTACTACTGCAAGAAACGTACCAAACTTAAAAATACAAGTACACAGTTTACATCATTAGGTGTGTTACAAGTTAACACAAGGAAGTAAGCAAATTACCCCTATCCTCAGGTGTCTGGCAGTTTTCAAGTAAAAGCTGGAAAACTTCAAGAGCTCCTTCTCCTGTGTTTTTGATCACATTGACAAGTAACGACACCAGGCTTTGGAATGAAATGTAAATTAACATATTTATCAGTGGGCTAATAAAATTAACTTTAGTTACAAGTAGTTTACTCATTTACCGAAAACAACACAAGTCTTAAACTATAACAAGAATAGATATCCACGCAGATACCTAAATTGACAACAACAAAAAATACAGTCAGGTGTTAAGATTTATGAATTTAAATAATTATAAATAAAACAATTTCATTTCATCTTATTATTAAAGAAAGGTGGAATATCTATTGAGATCATGATTACATGTACCTTGTTTTCCTTTCTCCTCTCTTCTTAGACTGTTCTAACAATTGAACAAGAACTTCAGGAGTCACTAAAAATGTAACAAGATAAACAGAATTAACCCCTGGGACATTGTAATTAATACCCTTAATTTATTTTCATCTACAAGTAGTTTTGCCTTTTCAACTAAACTACAACAAACATGGCCACCCCAACCACAGGTACATGTACATTATGTTGTCAATTCTCTAACTACATATAATACAATACAATACAATACAATACAATACAATACAATACAATACAATACAATACAATACAATACAATACAATTTAATTTAATAATGTAATAATGAGACATGTGCAGACATAGACTTAACTAACTTACAAACATCAATGAACTCTGTTATAGTCCCCTTCAGTAAGTTGGGTGACAAGGTAGCAATGTGAAGAAGAAAAGGAAGAGTGGAAAGCTGTTCCTCTCTTTCAGGATCTGTCTTGCTCGATTTTGTTGTACTTTCCTAGACCATAAAACAACAGACCTGAATTAGTGACTATATCACTATGTACAACACAGCAACTCCCATACAACATACACTACACATAATACATTACTAACAGTGTCAATTAAACACCTACATGAAACAAAGCCAATAGATTGCTCTTGATCTCTTGAGAATGTTGAAGAGAAAGATATGTGAGGACCTGCACCACAGTAGGAGTCATTACAGAGGCATCTCCAGCACTTCCCCCAGAGCAGTGACTTGCAGTGTATTCTTTTAATGCTGTAGACAGCAACTTGGGAATAAAAACCTGATGGAAATGAGACCTGAAAGAGTAGTTTGTAAATTGTATTTAAATAAGCAACATTGCCAGTTGTTTCATTGATGATTGTAATCATGGTGATCAGGCTTACATGTAAGAATTTCAGTGACAAGTAATAGTAATTGGACCGACTAGAGTGCAATTCAGGGAGTAAACACGCAAATAATTTCAAAATCGAACGAGGGTGAAACGCAAGGCCGATTTGAAATTATGAGCATGATTACTCCCTGAATTGTACAACGCAAGATCCAATTACTAATGAATCGTATCTATAACAAATCTCGGAATAACAAATGTCTTTTGAGAACTTCTTTTGAGCGAAAATGTCCACAGCACTTTTCACAAGTTTTGAAAACTGTAGGAAACACTGCAAAGGAAGCCATTAAAGCTCGCATAATTGATGTGCAAATCACATGGGTATCCAATTACAGGTATCTAACTACACAAAGTTCAAACTGGATACCTGTAATTGGACACCCACGTGATCGCACGGTGATATGGTGATAAATAGGCACGCAGAGAACCAATCATGATCAAGAATTTTGTTATAGATAGGATTATAATTATAATAATAATTAATAATTTAATTTTAAATAATCATAGTTTGACTTTCCCTGAAATGATTAAGTGCGCTTTACATCACTATATTATATTATAAACATAAAACAAGACACAAATTACCCAATGTGAGCTACAACCCAATCCAGATGAGGGGAACTGTTCACAGCTATTTGAAGCAAGCACTCCACACAAATATCAGCCTGGCCACGCCCAACTCTAACAACAAAAAAGAATTACAGTTAGATAAAGAACAGTATAAAGTAATAAAGTACATGTATAAAGTAATGACATTGCTTGGGCAATATATTAGGTTGGAATTTAGCATAATTTTACACTAACTAGTTACTGTTACACAGCCCAAAACCACAGGGGGTTGGGGTTAGAAGAGTTACTGTTAGAGTATTACTTTGCTGACGTACATGTACATTTTATGTCTGTGTGCTATGCATGCCATTTTCAATAACTGAATCTATATTTGATTGATGTACAAAATGTGCATTTAAAACTCCTCATTGTGGCATGGGTGGCCCAAGCTCAGTAAGTGACTGTTCTTTGATACATTTATTATGCAATAAACTTCATTTGCCTCAATCTAGGGCAAGTCTGTCATACAACAGAGCTGCAATTACACAATCATGTACGGTACTGTAAATCACATGCATACATTATATCAGGAGTTTCATTCAGAGCCGGGCACCACATAATTTGACCGGCTGTGAGGATGATTTTGTCTGGATGGTTTGACAATCTAGCGAAAAGTTTTTCTCATAAAGAAGTTCAGTTCAAATAGTTTTGCCTGCCTGTGAAAACCAGGTGCCCTCCTGCTGAAAGTGTGAATGAAACTCCTGTTATATAATTTGTATGACTGGATTTACATGCACATACATTCAAGTAAAAGCACAAAATTTATAAATATTGGTAAGTCACAAGAAATCAATCGGCTTACAATTTTGCACTACAGTGGACTGCAATATCCATTAATCTCTGAACAGCAGGAAATAACATCCACTTATGAAGACCCTCGCTAAGTGACATCGCAATATTGGAAGCTGTGATAAAGAGAACATATTTCCATGTAAAAACTGAAGTGAACTAAATTACAGTTGTACATGATCTTCAACAGAAGTGTACAGTCAAATTATTTTGGACTCAAGCCTCACCCAGACTATTGTTAAATGTTTTATTACAACTGAATAATTTTAAATAATATTTGTCTCATGGTTAAATGGAAGAGTTACAATGTATGCAATTGGCCTTGATTTGTATTTGGTACAGATAGTACAGTGATACTTGTTATTTTGTAGTAGTTTCAAACAAAGAATTTAAAATAGAAATTGTATGTTTAGCAAGATACCTGAGGACATTACATTCAATGACTACACACTTGACATGCTATGCTTGTCAGAGTTTTTTAGCGCACCTCTTCTTCCATTATTTTTTGTAACAACTTGTCCAAGAAGATTTAAAGACCACTGCAAAGTAACACAATAGTTTTGTACACTTAAATAAATGTTAACTTACAGTATAAATATTTAAACAGGGTTAGTCAATCCCAATTAAGTAATTAAAAATTTCAATAATACTATAGCAGTTTCTAAGACAGAAGTATTAAGACTCCAAAACTTCTTTTTTGACTCTTGCAGGTTTCTATCTATATACGGGCATTCTAAATGTACATCAAACTGTGCAGGAGGATTGAGGAATAACTCAACTTTGTACAGGACATTTACAGTAGATTTCCAGACTGTACCAGCAGTGTATCATTCTAGTAATCCTGATTGACTTCTTTTTATTAATAATATTTTATCAGAAATATCCACAGAGAGCCGAGAAATAACACTTAGTACATACAATGTATGCAATGACAACATATCCATAATAACATGTAAATAGTACCTGGCAAATAAGTGGAGCCCAAGCAGTGGGGTTATTGTCAACAAATCTGCAAACAACTTCACTGACATTCTGCAAAGCTGACATCAGCTCTGGATCAAGAGCATCAGGATAGCAGCCTGTGTTTCCTGTCAAAACAATAATACAATAAATTACATGTACATAAACATATAACATATTTTTTTCGGCAGATAAAATGTTGGGTAAAACTGTTTCCTCTTTCTTTTGGGCCAGTTGCAAGCCACAATCACATAATAATAGTCTTCCTGTTGTAAATAATTTTATGTCACAAAATCTGTGGTGAGGTTTCACAGCAAAATCAGCTTGAAAATTAAACCTTTGGTCCCTTGGAGAAGTGCAGTATCTCATGACAAATTGATATTAATAATTATCATCATGTAAATGAAACAAGCTTTAAGAATTTAGAACTGGATCGCGTCAATGAAAATGTTCCTGAAATCAAGTCAATTCATTTTATAAAGTAAATGTATCAGCGCAGAAAAATTCAAAAAGAAAAAACGAAACAAACAAACAAATGAAAACAACAATAACATCAACAAAAACAGAAATGTCAATAATTTGAATGTAGATTCTTTGAGAGGTGTCTGTGTTGGAATAGAAATAAAACTCACCAGATAATGCCTGTCTTTCAAACTCCACCACGTACTTCTGGACAGCTTCATGGAACACATCACACAGCTGTTCTAAGACAGCGTGTCTTGCACACGGAAGAGAATGCAACAACACAATTGCACATTGCGTCTTCTCCACATTGGATAAGATTTGGCCTGATTCGTCCTTGCCACTCAAAAATGACTGCAATCGTAGCTTTAAATTCTGGGTTTTAGATAAATGTAAGGCGAAAAATTAGAAAAACAAACCAGGACTATCCAACATCTCAGCGGTGTTGAATTAAGCTCAAATAGGAGCTCGACTGCCCTAACAAGATTGTCTGAGTGTGCGTCTCTTTATACTCCGGGGTAACGAATTCAATACGGAAAAATCAACAACTAAGGAGAAAAAAACATCAAGAACAGTTTGAAACAGCTGTAACTACAAACAGATTCAAAAAAAGTGTTTGTTGCACCTTCGAATCTTCCGCAACCTTGTCCGCCATCTTGCATCTTCTACTAGTCCCAGTCTTTTCCTTTTATGAAATGTTACCGCAACCGCATGGCAACAACGGGCTCATCTTTCATCAGCTGAACTCCACGCCAGCGGGTTCGCCAGCGCTGCAAACAAGACTTGCTGCACTATCGAAACTGATCTAGAATGTAGTCTTTCAATACTATTTTTAACAACAAGATGCGATTCTCATAAGATGTGACTAAACCTACAGCTGTACCATGTTTCGTTCATCGCGAGTGCTTCAAATCACTGCATTACTTGCGTTGTCTATCGGTGCTGGGACTTTGCTTTTTCTCACAGCGCGATATTTGAAACGAAAACGCCGGGAACCATCAACTGGAAAGAGTTCTTCTTACAACGACCGTTCTTTGAGAAGAAACAGAACTGCTACTACAGGTAACAAATAAAACAGTAAACGGTTTAATTTATTATATTGATTCCTGAGAACATCTTTGTCTGGTTTGGACCTGTCGAAAGCCGCGCTGTGGTGGAGCTTGATTTGACAGAACAGCCAAATCGAAACGTGAATTATTCAGTCTTGGTTTAAATTAATTATCTTTTATAATTTAAGCTTACGCATTAAATCAACTAATCATATTTTCATTAAAAGTACCTCGCATTTGGTAGTCAAATGTATTTACACGTAGATACATGTATTTACTGACAAGATATTGACTCGTTGGACATGAGATCTTATTTGATGCATCACCAATATGGCGGGGAGATAAATTTTTAAATATTCTTGAGCTTGAAGTCTTTCATCTACGGTTGTGAAAATACCTATCTTTCTTTCTTTGAGAGAACCTTTGATTTACCTGATGAATTGATGTACAAGATTGGGGGCAACGTGTAAATTTCAGTTCAATATGCACGAGTTCACGTTGCGCAGGGAGCTGCATGTAACAGTGAAATATTCAATCAATAAACTTGATTGTTTACAACAACATTGCTGGTGGCATAATATATGTCAGGAACCTTAGCTGCCTGGCTTGACATATGTGCCAATGACTAACAACGCCAATGTATTCTTGGCTTTCAAATGTTTTAGACACTACAATTTAAGTGTAAAATAATAAATGAACAAAACCCTATTACATGTAGTTATAATTATCTAGTTTGTGAGCAAACTGTTTTCTCTGCATCTAAGTGAGCCAATTTGGAATGATATATAATGAAGAGACTGAACAACAGAACTTTCTGTATGCATGTAGGACTGAACCACCTGTATATCATTGACTGTCAGTCAGAGTGCACATGACTGTAATTCAAGTCCTGTGGCAATGCTGCCAGATACTGGTCACTGCACCTGATCAGCTCTTGAAGTCAGACTACTTGATCATGGGTCTGCATTAATTAAAACAGTGTAATCATGGATGTAGTACCATTCATACAGCTGTACAATCAGGTACTAACCTTACTTTATTGTTTTAACTGGTGACAGGTAGTTCAAGAGTTTCTGTCGGTGATTCGTCCAGGCCTGTCATCAAAGTTGCAAGTTTAGATCATGAGCTTGTGTTAAGACGCCATGCTGCAGGTCTTAAATCTCAACATGGCAACATGGATGACACCATTGTTGGGAATGGTAAATGTTTCATTATGTGTATGTCTGAATGTCATATAAGTCAGAACCCTACAGTGTTGAGTCAAAGCACATGTGGAAGATGGTCATGTGTTGGCCAACTCAGGAGAAACTCATTTATTTGCAATGATGAAAAATTCATCAACTACTTACATACATGTAGTATACCGGTACATGTACAGCTGTGGCTGCCTGTTGCTTTTTTTTTTTATTTCAGGTTCACCTGTTAATAATGATTTTGTAAAAATAAGGACAACTCCAAATAATTATTGTGTCTGGCTTTCCTTATAATCATAGTAGTTGTACATGTCATGTTAAAGTACTCATAGGGATTGAAATTTTTTTTGTTCTTTCTTTCTTTAATTAAATGCAATTATATGGAGATTTGACATTAGTGTTCATGTTAACTAAAGACACAAAATTTATTGTATATGTACAATTAATTGCCAGGTTCCTTTAGATTAAGGGGTGTTGGTTGCCATCCTAAAGCCAGTAGTGTACACCAGTGTAAACAATACCAACTCAAATTCCCATTAATAATTTAACAATATTGCTGGTACAACTTACATGTACATTTATTTAATGTTAGATGGAAGAATCTCTGAAGACAGTGCTGTTGACTTAGGAGATATAATTACAGACGAAGATGAAATTGTTGAAGAACTAATCAAGAGAGGTATGTGTATACCTACAGCATACCTGGTAATAGCTTCATCAAAAAGCTGGAGCATATGCACCATTTGTCCAAAATGATAAATCATGCATTTGCTGTTAGTAGAGTTTATACTATTTGATTGAGAAGGTTTGATCTCAAATGCTATCAAGAACATGCTTTGGCACTCTGGACTGCACATTATTCATATATGAAAAAAAAAAAATTAAGAGTGAACATGTATGAGTAATTTTTTTTTTACTGCGACTATCAGACTGAATGTTTTCACAGGTGTGGAAAGCTTTGAAATGGCATTAGAACATTGGTATGAAGCTGCAGAATACGTCATGGCCCGGAAAAGAGAAACTGTTTCTCTGGGAGAGGACTCATTTTTCAATTATGAAGCAGATGAAAAACTTAGTGCTCTGATCAGTGGCTCCAGAAAACTGCGTAAGGTGATTGAACATTATGAGCTGATGGAGACACCCCTGCCACGTACACCAAGTAACATGCTGACATGGATTGATGATGAGAGTTTGCAAGAGCAGTTACAGCTGGAAATGAGTAGAGACCAGGACTATGAGAACTCTTCTGATACAGAATCTTTTGTCTCTGCATCTGATAATGCACAATTGGAGGTACATCATAAATTTAATTTTCATACCTCTTTTCATACATCTTCATACATCTTCATACCCCCACAACTGTGATCTGTTGTTAGTAACTTTACATGCACATCTATGATCTTAATTAAAGTTATAAATTTTTTACATTGGCAGTATGATGATATAACAGAAGAGAGACTTGTCAGTGAATCCCAGCGACTAAAGGTGTTCAGAGAAGCTGTGCTCCGTACTGCTGGCAGTCACAGGTGCAGTGAACAACACGGCTTGGGTTTTACTACTTGTTAATTTAAAGAAAAATCATCTTAAGTGTAATGGTTAAATTTGGTAATTATAGCAATACCTGCATTTGTATGAACCTTCAGAGGTACATATTTAAACCAAATTACTAAATTAAAATACTTTGTATTCCTCTCTGAGTAGTCACCTGGAGTTTTATGTGTCTGGCCTGCAGCATTACATTCGTCATGGAATTCTTTGCCGAAAGATGAGGTGAGGGAACCCTCTTTAATTTGGAAATTGCACATGATTTGGTTTTGACATGAACGGTGTACATGTATGCATAATTGTTTAATAAAGCTTTAAAGTCAATCGTTAAAGCGCAGTTAATGGAGCGTGACGCTATTTACGTACAGTCACTAGCTTACTGTTGTTAAACGTAACGCAATAGAACTGTTACGCGTTAGAACATTATAGAAGTCTTTCTTGTCTAGTTTAAACAATATTCACAATAGCCTTTCACGTATACATGTTGCAACAGCGTCCGGTTTAACTATATCGTGCTTTTTGTATGGCTAGTCTTTTAAATAGCCCCATTCTTGTTTCGTTCANATTTATACGATGTAGGTATTTTCTTTGCTAGACAACTCCAATGATTTATTTTATACATGTTCCTTTAATGGAACTAATTTTCTGAAAAAAGAAAATTGTTATTATTTACATCTAATTATTAAATAGAAGAAATATGATTGAAGAGAAATTTGCAATGTGAGTTGATTGACTAAAGGTTTATGAGGAGATAAGTAATTTTGTGTCCAGAAGTTATAGACCACAAACTAAACAATCATTTAACATATAGAAATTGTTCAGCAAGTTAAATTACGGCGCAAGTTGTTGTCAGAGTTGGCTGTTGTAAATTTTGTACAGTTGGAGATTGGTGGGTCAGATATGCTCTTTGGAAAATTTGAGTGACTAAAAACTTATTTTGTTTCCATTGACAGTGTAAACTTCCAGGTGCCATTGACTGGAAAAACGATGAAAGTACCTGAGGAGCATACATGTATTGACTCACTCTGCTACCAGCCAGGAGCCCTCAAGTCAAGAGAAGAAGGACCTTCAGAAGCAGAAACCACTCAAGGAAATAGTAGTGATTCAGGGCAGAAAGGAGGCCAGGCCATCCCAGATACTGGGAAACCTGCTGCGCAGGCCTCCAAAAGCCCAACCGCAAGTAACAGCTACTGCCGCAGCAGTAGTGGCAGTGGTGGGGATGATGGAGATGATGGGCCTAGGAGAAATGTTCCTCCTGGTGGTTGCCAGGGAGATAGCCAGTGTAGTGTGGACAACAGTGAAGAACAGGAACAGCAACCAGAAGAGGAGAGCCATCAAGGTGGAGACTGCCCACATAATCAAGACTCCATGAGTACTCCAACAAAAGTCCCTTCAGACACTGGAAACAGCAAAGATAAAACTAGCACTTCAAACCAGAAAGTAGGCCAGACACCCACAGATGAAGGGAAACCAGCTGCGCAGGTCTCCAAAACAAAGCAGGGAAGTGCCAGCTACCACCATAGCAGCAGTGGCGGTGGAGATGATGGTGAAGATGACAGAAAGCGTAATTTGCCTACTGGTGGTTGTCAAGGTGATGGTCAGTGTGAAGTGGAAGACTTGGGAGAAACTAAAGAAAGTGGACAAGACGATCATCAAGAGCAGGAACAGAGTCCTCCAATAACTGAAAACATTTTGGTTAGTGCACCATCTTGTGACGGCGCTAAGAGGTCAGCTGCCCAGGTTAGGCCAAGCTGATGCTATAATAATCTATAATAATGTAGCTGTCTTGGATGTAATTATTTTGAAACCAATGTCTTTGTCGAAAATATGGTATCATTCCAGAAGTCACACCTCATTCTACCCCTGTCTAGGGTCATGTGCCTCAACAAAGTTACTTGGGGTACTCCCCAGGGAGACCAAAGCGCCACATTTCACAGGTTAAGCTTCCAGCCTCAATGATAATAATTCCATAATGTTTCTCAAGTTCCAAAATGTTACATCTAAGCTTGTTATGTTACAATAGACTAGCAATATTTCTTGTTTCTCTTAGTTTCTAATCAGTCTTGTGCATAAAATCTTAGGGCCTCAGGATTGATGTGACTGGAGCCAGAATGTTTGCTGAAGCATCATGTGAGTTACAAAAGCAATCTAATGACCTGCAGTCTGAGGTGGCTGGTGGATTATTCTTGAGTGATCAGGTATAATAACTTGGTGTTTGTGTCGCAAACTTAAGCTAAGTAATCATTGATAA